CCCGGCCGGCGCGTCCCCCGCCCCCCAAGCAGCCGAGCGCGGGGACTCGACTCTGGGGCGCTCTCCCGGTCCGGCTCCTGCTCCTCCTCTGCGCCCCCCATGCCCGCCGGGCTTCCTTCCGTCAGTGTTTGGGGCGACGCCGCTGTTGCTGGGGCGACGAGGACGCTCCTGAGCTGGAGTGGGAGGGACCGTTGCAAAAGTGAGCCCTGACAGGCTGCCACTTTTCCTTCGTGGAAAAGCACGCAAGAGGCGAGAAACCGTAGCTCAGTACGAGCGGATTCCTCGCCCTTTCCCTAATGCAGGCAGAAATGGCCGAAAACAGCCACGAACTCCCCAGAGAACCTCGCTAACGCAGCTTGTTGCTTTTCGCTTAGCGCTTGGGTTGTATGAAATAATTCACGGTGGCTTATCAACTATAGATTAACGGCTTAGCACCCTGCTTGAAGGCAACTGGGAGTCTTTCAGTAACTTATGGCTAAAGAAATCAGAGTTTAGTGCATGTGAACCAGGCTAGGTTCACACCAATCAATCAATCTCTGCCTGCCTGCCTGCCAGTCAGTATTGACTCCTGGTGACTTCCTGGACTAGTCCCTGTGGCTTGCCATTGCCTGCTTCTTAGAGTGACTGGCCCAAGGCCCCCCCCAGCTGGCTTTGTGCCTAAGGCAGGACTAGAACTCAGTCTCCCAGTTTCTAGCCTGGTGCTTTAACCACCACAGTACACCAAACTAGCTCTTGGGTTTGCACAATACAAGAAGCTAAACCTTAAACACAAACTAAATCCTTTTGTGCTGCCTACAAAGAAAGTCAGTGAACAGCTTCTGCTTCAATTCCTCACTTTCTGCAGCAAGGATTGTTTTGCACCATACACACAGTGCACTAGAAAGCATTCAGGAGCTGGGCAAGGGGGTAGCATTCATCCAAAAAGAGTCCAATGGCACAGCATTCTCACCTTCACTGGATGAGAATCACGCACCTAAGTAATTTGAACCAATAGTACATTATTATTATTGTAAGTAAACCAGAATGAAGGAAAATTGTATTTCAACAGCTTCACAAGAAATGGGAATTTCTTTTAACCACTTTTTCAGATTTTTCAACTACTAGTCTCTTAATATAGAGGAAGGACACTTCTCATTCTGCTCATTTTAATTGCCTTTACAGTACATCCACTTTAGGGACTATCCAAAGACTACATTAGGGCAATGTTTTTCAAACTTGGCCACTTGCTGGCTGGAGAATTCTGGGAGTTGAAGTCCACACATCTTAAAAGTGCCCAAGTTTGAAAAACACTGCATTAGGCCAACAAACTACCCCTGCCTTCCCTGGCAATTAACTGATAACTACTTCATTCTTTGCTTTAAACTCTCCCTAAAGCAAGGTGGACAGAAATTTGGGACCTTCCATTTACTTGAGAACTATTGGCAAGGATGGCCCTGTCGTTGGTTTCCTCTGATACTTTTACCAAGGATTGCCCTCACTATGTATCTGGAGAAGCAACAACAAATGGCATCTAAATACTGAGTTATGGCTGATGCTGGACTAGGGAGGGGTGAGAGAAGAGACACAGCTTCAAGTTCATCCTTAGACATGGAAGCTAAATGATTGAGCTATTTTCCAGTCCAGCTTATTCCTCAGAGGAGGATGGAATACTGTGCATGCTTCGATTCTCATAAGGAAAGCTGGGATATCAATTTAATGAATAATACTATCTGTAATTATGCCTGTTCCTTTTACAACCCTAATGAAGGGTAAGAAACCTATAGCCATCCAGGTATTTGCTGAACCATAACTCTAATCACTTTGTTCTTTTGGTGGCTGGAGCTGATAGGGAATTCGAGTTTCTTTTTTGTGGATAATACGATAGGAAAAAAAAATACAGTAAGTTTGTACTTATTTAGGTGGTTAGTATAACTCTATGAAATGTCTACCTTGCAATAATATAGCTGAATACAGTTTAGGACAATATGCACACAATGTATATGCTCTGTACATTCTATTTACTGGGCCCTTGAATTTAAAAATATGAGTACTGTGCTTAAAGCAGTACACTGCAAATAGCTTCATAGGAAAAATGCTGCAAAATTAATTTTAGATATGCATTGACAACTCCAGAAGTGTATATGGTCACAACACTACAAGCTCTTCCAGTGTAAAGGACTTGTTTTAAAGAAATCAACCAATATTTTGAGAGTCAAATAAGTTGCAGATCCCCACTTGTCTAAGTGACCATATTTCCTCTTTGTCTAAACCATATTTTAAAAAAAAAAAGGCAAGAGAAGGGTAAAATAAAATATTTCCAGCAGACAGGCAAATGAGCCATCAGACCAGATGGTGTCTCTGGATTTATCCAGAGAAGCTAGGAAGTACATTTTGTTAGCTATGCTATTAACATGTCCAACAGGAGTTCTGCTTGTAGAGGCAACACAGGCAATTTATCCAGAGCCAACAGTCTGGCAAAGTTCAATGTGCTGAAAACTCCTAGAGCCTTTAGCGTCACACATATCAGATGTCATGCTGAAGTTACTCTCCCTGATACAACGGCAGCTAATTTGCTGCTTTGCTTAATTGGTAGTTTTGAGTTTTTTATTTGGTGCTCCAACAGAATCATCTGTGCATTCCAATTTCATTTTGGCTGGTGACTTGTTCCCCTTGACAGTCTGGGAGGCTTTGAACGCCTCTTTCAAGAGGCGCAATTCTCGTCTCTCCCGGCGCTCCTCCATCTCCTCAATCTCATCTGCAAACAAGGCCTTCAGAGGTGGGATCAGTTTCGGAATGGCATCAAAATCCTCAAAACGAACCTGACAAAGAAGACCAATAATATATAGCAAAAACTGTGCAGAATCTGCGTATATCCACAGCCTTTAAATTCTTGTAAATGAAAGATTACATGTAAAGCATGTACCTTAACACTAAATTCTTTTGAACTGTGTCAGCAGACAAAGAAAAACCTGCTGGACTCTTAATAGCTTCTACTGCCCAGTCAATTTTTGAAGCTCATTGATATATATAAAATGTTCTGATCTCTAGGAAGAACCATCTCAGAAGTCTGAAAACGGAGTTCTTCAAGTCTAACATGCCAACACATCTGACCTCTTCTGTTGGAAAAGCTGACTGGGAACAGAACACTGAATTGTTCAGTAAGGTCACCAGCTCCAACCCCCACCAGACTGATATCATACCTACGAAAATGGCTATTTATTTCCTATCTTTTGTTTGTTCATTTGAGGCTCCTCTCACTTAACTGATCCTATCTCCTATTTCCTATCTCATAACTGGAAAGGAGATGGTGTGACCTATAATTCTTCTTAAACTTTAGAAACTTCTTTATCAAATGAAGACAAGAAGCCCTGTGGCAAATATACCTGTATTGCTCAAAAGAACCTGGGATGCGGGGAAAGGAGGTTATGTGGCTATAACCTCAAAGCATGATCTGTGAGCCGTGGCAGCAAGCAAAAAATCCCAAGAGATTGAAACACAGAACCAGACCTACCTTGATATTGTAGGTCTGGAGACCTCGGATCATTCAATTACAATAGGTTACTTTACAGTTATAACATGAAGGGATAAAATAAACTAAACTAAAACTAAAAATAGGTATGATTTTAAAAATGAAGGAAGACAACATATAAAATTAAGTTACCATAGGCAAGTTAGTTTTAAAAGTGATAGAACCATTGTTGAGGAGTAGGCAGAGAGGCTGGGCAGAGACCTGAATTAGAAAAAGAGGCAGGACAAGTATACAGAAGCTCAGCTAGAGAAATAGCAATTTCGGAGTTTTTCAGCTTAGAGAAATGATTTAGGAAAATAAGAATACCCAGGGATTTATCAACATTTGAATCTTCCTATACGATATACTCCCCCAATCCCAAATGCGTATCATTATATATGTAATTATATGTATCATTCCTTCCTTTGAAGTGCTTGAACATAGGCCAAAATTATGGGTGTCCAAAGAGACTCTTGAGTAAACATCCTAAAGAATGGTGATCTGGAGGTTTACTAAAAAACCAGTATCACAGATTAATTATCTGCTCAATCACTACTACTCCTACATAAAACTAATTTTAAAAAACCCTTTCTTGTAGACTTAGCAGAATTATTAATGGCTTTTTTGTGAGAAAATAACAAAGTTCACAGATTCAGAAATGGTTGCTAAGTCTCCAGAAAGTGAAAATGCACTTAAGCTATATCTTGGGGGCGGGGGTGGGGAGTAAAAAAAAGCTGAAATATGAAGAAGGAAAACGAGGCCCAAATATCAGGCCTACTTGCAGATTATTCAAGATACAGTAGGGCAAAAAAGTATTTAGTCAGCCACCAATTGTGCAAGTTCTCCCACTTAAAAAGATGAGAGA